AATTAAATGAGAAAAAGTCAAAATGCAAGGTTTATTCTGATCTATTACCATCATTCCGAGGAAGAATCTTGAAAGAGAGAACAAGGAACATTTCATGATTTTCTCCTGGATATTTCTCAATTTATTCTCAACATATAGTGATGCATTTCAATGCCATAGAGTATTTCCTATACATTTACTAAACACTACGTTTAGATTTGACAGCGGTAAATCAAAATATCCTTTGGCAAGTCTTTTGTGACAGTTGACAAGCCTTTTGTGTGGTGGCCTCACTTTCTTCAATTCGCACTTCTAATGCATAATCCGACAGTGCATGCAGAATAGTTTGTGTAAAAGAATAGGTTTTTTATTTAATAGAATTTCAAATACTGTGAATCCTCGCTGAATCACAATCACACCATATTGTCATCCAGTTTTCAAAACCTGCTTGCTACTAAAGTCTTAATTTAGTTCCAGGTCAAATCAACTGATACAGGTACTACAATTTCATAGGATATGTAAATGGCACACTCAATGCACCCTGTGCTGATTTTATGACAATGTCATGCATTTAAAGACATCAAATATCATTCCCTAGAAACCTTTCCTTCTGAAAAGGAAAGTGCCATTGATGTATGAAATTTATTTTGTCAGACGTTTGAAACATTAAATTGAAGAATACAGAAGGCAAGAGTAAATAAGATTTTTGAACAGCCTCATTACCTTTACTGGCAAAACCAATCCTAACTCCAAATCACCATCAGAAGTACAAGGACTTACAAAGGGGCCATTGGCCTGTATTTTCCAAAATATGCTGCAGTGTGCGAAACTCCTTTGGTGATAATGTGAAGCAGAAACAGACACAAAGTAATATTAATGTTACACATGCTAATACTGGAGAGTTGTTCATTACATTCTTTCTTTATTTTCAGTTATTTGACACTGGCATTTCCAACAATTCCTGGACTTTCAGCATTAAGGGCTTTCCGAGCTCTTAAGATGATTGCAATTTTACCTGGTGAGGCCATTTGAACAATTTTACATTGTAAAACAGATGTTTTTTCAACAACATGCCTATGGTTGTAATAGAAATTTAATTGCACATTCTTAAGTGTCTTCTGTTTTTGATGGATTTATAACTTCAATATTCCAATATCATAAAGAGTAAAACTTCACTCCTAAAGTTCTTGGCGATCCATTCTTCCAGCAAGAATGCGACAAACAAAATCTTTGCCCACTTGGATTAGAGACACATCCTGAACCTTAGGATTTGGAACATTTTCATGGTTGGGGTAAGCCACTGGCACATACAAGTGCACCTAAGCTTTTGTAATATGGTGTGGTTCAAAGCCACTGCATCTGAGCTCAATGCTGAAGCCAATAAGGTACCATGGCCTCACATGTACCACCTTGCACGTTTGCTTTAAGATTGATCAATTTATGTGTCTGGAATCAGCCAAATCTTACAAGCATATATTGACTTACCTGAATTTTAAATTCATGGTCATGATCGTGCTGCCATTTTACATGTAATGCGAATATCAGAAAATCATTGGAAGACACTGTTAAAATTTCGCTGTGCCAAGCTAGGTCAAAATACACTTCAACCAACCCAATACATTGACCCCAAACCACCCTTATGTGCAATCCTCCAAGTTTCACTGGGTCCAATGAAGTAAAGGAAATGTTTGAAAATTCAGCTCAAACTGTAAATGCTGAGTGTACCTGCCAGGAACATCCATATTTAATCACACTATATGTCAGAGAGAGGTCCCTACAAGACAATGGCAGTACGTGCACGACTGCAGGTAAAGCTAAATCTTCTGCCAAGATGGTGAGTCAGAAAGTTTCATCGAAAGCAGGTCTGCCAGGGACTGCAACACTTGGTCCACATTTGGGCTCCATGTTCACCATTCTGTAGCGTTGTGTGTTCTAATGATAACCATGTTTCTTCAGGGCCAGAAGCCTGGAAAAAAAAGAAATTGTAACATTTGAGGTCTCTGCTCCTAGCCTCATTGTTTTTGTGCCACCTTCTTTGTGAGGTGTGGGAAGCGATTTCCCACATTACAAGACCAAGTAGGAATGCCATGCCAGACCCTGACTTTAATTGACATCTCAGCCAAGGTTCAAGCCATTTTGGTATCCTGCCACCAAGGTTGCCACAGCAATATGACACAAGACGGAGTTATTTGGGGGCATGGTTTCTCAAATAGTCAAAAAAGATCTTTTTATCACAGGCAGGATTAATCTCATACAGATACAGTTGTTCACAGCTAATGTAATCAAATATCGCATATGAGCAATGCAATAATATTAGCTACCAATAATATAACTGGTGGCTAATTACCACTACATCATAAATTTGACATAGGCTCCAACTGTTATTGTAACTGTGATATAATTTACTGAAGTCTCATTCAAAGCAATATTTAACTATTTCTTCAGGGCTCAAGACTATCATTGGTGCTATATTCAAGTCTGCTAGGCTGCTAATGGAAGTCCTTCTTCTCATGATGTTTGTTCTCCTAATAATTGCATTGTTTGGACTTCAAATTTTCAAAGGCGTTCTGACACACAAGTGTATAAAAAACATGGAACCCAGGGTTAACATTACTCATGCGGAATGGGAAAACTATATCCAAAACAAATGTAAGTGTTGGAGCACTTATTTATAAATGGTGTACTGTTTATGAAAGATTACTGCAATGTAAATATCTGGTAACAACATTGAAGACTTTACCTGCTTGTATTTTTCATCACTTAATCAGTTGTAAAGTTATATGGAATGCATGTACGTAGGGCTTAATGTTAGTCCAGAAATGACTAACCAAATTGCAAAAAAAAGGACATTTTGTTATTGAGAATAAAAACAGAAAGTGCTGGGAACTCATAAAGTCTGGTGAAATAGAGTTCACACTTCAGGTCAACTCTTTTTTGACCTCATGTTGCTGTAGGATCCACCTGTAAGACATCACATCTGAGGTTTTACAAAAACAGGAAATACAGTGAGTGGCTGATTTTGAGTGGAATTGGGTAGTATGAGTAAGTGGATGTGAACCCAAATCATCATCAGTTTCAACACAACGACACAAGAGTAAGAAACCAAATATTTGCCTCTCTTATTTGTTAAGTGACTAACCATTGCAACAGTTAGTTTTTTTAATTAATTGTCTGATGCCCAGTGTCTGAGCTCCAACTGCTGGTAACACCAGTGATTGTTGTATTAATTGATTAGTATACACAGTGATTGTTAGAAACTATTCTTTTCTCCATTACCAACCACTTTCTTAAGCTCTTCTCCTTGCACAAGTAGTTATTGTTCTTGTTGTAAGCAAGAACACAGCTGGATCCCACACAATGTTCTTTATTCCTGAAGGCATTGAGTCTTGGCCAAGTTATGTTTGCATTTCAGTCCCTCATGTACATATTAATTTTCCTCTTGACTGTGGATTTTGACAATTCATGGAACTAGAGCAGAGTTAGCACTGCTGCCTCACAGTGCCAGGAACCCAAGTTCGATTCCATTCCTGGGCAACTGTCTGTGAGGAGTTTGAACATTCTCCCTGTGTCTGCATGGTTTCATCCCACAGTCCAAAGATATGCAGGCTAGGTGGATTGGCCATACTAAATTACCCGTAGTGTTCAGGGATGTGTAGATTAGGTGGGTTTAGGGGGATGGGTCTGGGTGGGATGCTGAGGGTCGGTGTGGACTTGTTGTGCCGAAGGGCCTGTTTCCACACTGTAGGGATTCTATGGAGTCTATGAGGCGTAATCCTATCTGTACCTAAGTTCTTGCAAATGCATAATTTACACTGGAGATAATTTTGAGTAACAATCAATAAATTAAATCCTTGCTAACGTTCCAACATAGGTTGCTGAGACCAGTCATCAGTAATGTGGTTGAGATCAGCAACATCAGTTCAGGAATGAATGTGGAAATTTCTTAATTTGAGTGGATTGAGTTACTCATTGGGTAAACAAAACAAACTGTTGAGGTAGCCTAGCAATAGGAACTCAAACCAATTGGTATTGTCCCAATTCGTAGCTCAGGGATATTAAAACCAGTTGCAGTTGTTCTGTAATGCCAAGGTCAGCTAACTTAACAGAAGCATCTGTCATATTTTTTTTCGTTCAACAACGTATTAACTTTTGTTATATGTGACAAATATTTGAGTACAGGGAAAAGAGAAGAACATGGAAACACAAAATAAAATATTACACTTGAACAGATTTCATATCTCTTTCACTGCATGTTCCCTTTTAAACAGAATCTTGTTTATTTACAGCTAACTGGCTTGTTATTGAAGATGTTGATACAATGGTTTGTGGAAATGGAACAGGTACTGGGTAAGCACATTCTGACTATTACATTGACTTTGTTAATATTAGACAATGAAGCAAGCTCATCATTAAATGAACAGCAAAACTCATCATACCCTGCCAGTCTTAAAAGACTGAATTGAACTGTTTGTAATATTGGTGATATATTTTTCCTGAGGTGACCTTCCAGTCATTTTTAACTAACAGTGCTTACTTGCAGCTGTCTAACATTGTCAAATTATTCTCCTCCCTCAGCTCATCTGCTGATGAAATTCTTATTCATGCCTCTGTTAGCTTTAGAATTGACTATTCCAATACATTCCTGGTCAGGATAGAAACATAGAAAATAGGAGCAGGAGTAGGCCATTTGCTCCTTCAATTCTGCTCTGCCATTCAACATGATCATGGCTGATCATCCAATTAAGTAGCCTGCTCCCACTTACTCAACCCTTTGATTCCTTTAGCCCTAAGAACTATATCTAACTCCTTCTTGAAAATATTCAGTGTTTTGGCTGGAACCACTTTCTGTGGCAGAGAATTCTGAGTAAAGAAATTTCTCCTCATCTCAGTCCTAAATAGCCTACTTCATATCCTTAGACTGTGACTCCTGGTTCTGAACTAGAGAACATCCTTCCTGCATTTACTCTGTTTAGTCCTGTTAGAATTTTATCGGTTGCTATGAGATTACTCCCTCACTCTTCTAAACACCAGTGAATATAATCATAACCGATCCATCAGTCCTGCCAGCCCAGGAATCATTCTGGTAAAAACAGAAATTGCTGGAGAAACTCAGCAGGTCTGGCGGTATTTGTGGAGAGAAAGCAGAGTTGACTTTTCAACTCTTGTGACCCTTCTTCAGAACTGCTAGTAGTGAGAAAAAGGTGGTAGAAATACTGAAAGCAGGGGCTGGGGTAAGGGAGGAGGGTTAAAGGAGTGGGAGGATAGACCGAGACACATCCAAGAGAGAGAGAACAACAGTTAGGGAGACAAAGTGATGATAATATTATGCCAAGGAGAAAGAAAAGCTGATAATGGGGACCATAATTAGGTCAAAGTGATATGGCCGTGCTGAAAATAGCCTATGTCATGACAGGACTTGGGGTGCAAGGGTGTGTAAAGGTCATGGAGCAAAGTGTTTAAGTTTAAAATTATCGAACTCAATACTGAGTCCTGAAGGCTGCAGAATCCCCAAGTGGAAAATGAGATGTTTTCCAGTTTGCACTGAGCCTTGCTTGAGCACCGCAGCAAGCCCGAGACAGAAATGTTGGCCAGGGACCACAGTAGTGTGTTGAAATGGCAGGGAACAGGAAGTAGAGGTCATTTACTTATGTTGAAACATTAAGTCTGCTTTCTGTCCACAGATGCTGCAAGATCTGCTGGGTTTCTTCAGTAATTTATGCTTTTGTTTCAGATTTCCAGGATCTGCAGTTCCTTATTTTATACCAGTTCAGTAAACCTATGTTGTACTCCCTCCACAGCCAGAACATCCTTCCCCAGATAAGGAAACCAAAACTGCACATAATACTCCAGGATTGGTCCCACCAAGGCACTGTACAACTACAGCAGACTGTTCCGATACTGAAATCCACTCACTGTGAAGGCCAACATACTATTTGCCTTCTTTACCACCTGCTTCAACTCCTGCTACATCTGCAGGCTTACTCTCAGTGATTGGTATGCAAGGACATTCAGGTCTCATTTCATTTACTCTTTTCCTGGTCTATCTCAATTCAGATAATAATCTACCTTACTATTTTTTTTGCTTGCAAGGTGGATAACCTCACATTTATCCACATAAAACTTCATCTGCATGCATTTGCCCACTTACTCAGCTTATCTAAATCGCACTGAAGTATCTCTGCATCCTCTTCACAGCCCGCCCTCCCACTCAGCTTTGTGTCATCTACAAGCTTCAAGGTATTACATTTTGTTCTTTCATCTAAATCATTAATCTGTGTTGTGAATAATTAGGTCCAAGCACTAATCCTTGCAGTACCTCACTAGTCACTGATTGCCACTTGGAAATATTCTTAGCCTTGGTGTTACCTGTCTGCTAACCAGTTCTCTATCCATGTCAATACACTACCCTCAATTAATTAATTTAATTTTACACGCTAGTCTCTTATGTGGGACCTTATAAAAAGCCTTCTGAAACTCCATGTAAACCACATCCACTAGCTCTCCCTTATCAACTCTGCTCCTTACATCCTCGAGAAAGTTCCGATAGAGTTGTCAGGCATGATTTTCCTTTTACAAACCTATGCTATCTCTGTCCAATTTTGTCACTGTTTTTCAAGCCCTCTGCTATTAAATCTTTTGTAATGGACTCTAGCATTGCCAATGTCAGACTAACCTGTCTATAATTCCCTGTTTTCTCTCTGTCTATTTTTTTTTAAGTAGTCGGATTATATTAGCAACCCTCTAATCCATAGGAACTGTCCCAGAGTCTTTAGAATCTTGAAAAATGACCACCAATGTACCTACCATTCCTAGGGCCACTTCCTTAAGTATTTTGGGACACAGATTATCAGGACCTGGGGATTTCTTAGTCTTTAGTCTCATCAATTTCTCTACTAATAATACTGATTTCTTTCTGTTCCTCCTTCTCAGTAGACCTTGTACTCCCCAACAATTTTAGGGCATTACCCATGTTCTCCTTTGTGAAGACAGAGCAAAGTATTTCATTGATCTGTCATCTCTTTATTCCTCATTAAACTTTCCCAGTTTCTATTGTAAAGGACCTACATTTGCCTTTACTAATCTTTTTTCTCTTCATATACCTATAGAAGCTTTTGCAAATGATTTGTATGTTCCCCATAAGCTTAGTCCCGTATTCTATTTTTCCCCTCTTAATCAATCCCTTTGTCCTCCTTTCTTGAAATCTAAACTGCTCCCAATCCTTAGGTCTGCTGCTTTTTTTGAACAATTTGTATGCCCCTTCCTCGGATCTAATACTATCAATAATTTCTCCTGCTACCTGTGGTTGGGACAACTTTCCCGTCGTATTCCTGGATCTTATCTTCAGCCCTCTGTAAATTTAAGATCATCCAAAACTCAGCTGCCTGTGCTCCAGCTCACACCAGTTCACGTTCACATATCACCTCTATGGTCGCTGACCTGTCCATATTCACTCCTAGGTGAACTACGCCTCAAATGTGAAATTCCATTAATCTTTCAAATACCTCTGTGACTTCCCTTCTCTTTATCTCAGCAACATCTTCCAATCCTTCAAAAGACCTGAATTCCTCCAGTTCTGGCGTTATGTTTGTCCCTGATTTTAATTGCTCCAACTTTGGCAGTCATGCTTGCAGCTTCAAAGGACCTAAGCACTGGTATTCCCTCCATAAATCTCTCCATTCCTCTACTTGTGTATTCCCATTTAATGCGCTACTTAAAACCTACCACTTGGTCGAGGCTGTTGCTCACCTGCCCTATTATGACCTTCAATAATGTGGTGCCATATTACATTTGATACTGCTCCTGCATTTTACTGTATTAAATGTACCATACAGTTGCAAGTTGTTATTGAGGACTATAAATGATAGTCCTGTTATCTCAATGCTAATTGCTGTAGCAAGTGAAAGTCTGTTGAGGATAGCATCCTCCCCATTGCTTGATATAAGAAATGACTTCTTTGGCCGTGTGTTCTCATTGCCTTAACTTTTGTTTTGAGATGTTCTTCAGTTATAGACAACTTTGTCTCCTAGAATCCTGGCATTTTCCTGTCCTGAACAAAATTTGAAATTGCAATTGCCCTGACAGAATCCTGAAATGACCATAAATGGTTTCTGAATTCCGTGGGGTGTTTAGTGGTTTTATTTCCTTTTATGTTATAAAGCCCCCTTATATAGTATGGATAATCACCACCGCAAGGAATGATTGAAACAAATAATCAGATGCACTTAATGGGAAGCTAAACACTCAGTTGAGGGAGAAGAAAATCAATGGTTACAATGATAGATTTCGATGTGAAAAGTGGAAGGCAGTATGTGTGGGGAATAAATGCTGTCATGGACTGGTTGGGCTGATGGCCAGTTGCAATACTAGGTATAAAAACAAGGCTGAAGTATTTTTTGCATCTATCTTCAGTCAGAAGTGCCAATTGGACAGTTCATCTCGACATTCTCCAGAGCTCCCTAGCATCACAGATGCCAGTCTTCAGCCAATTTAATTCACTATGTATGATATCAAGAAACAGTTGAACGCACTGGATGCTGCAAAGGCTATGTCCGTGACAACATTACGCCAATAGTACTTAATGACTGGTGTTGCAGAGTTTGCTACAACCCGAGCCAAGCTCTTCCTGTACAGCTACAACACCGACATGTGGAAAATTGCCCTGGTGTGTCATAAAACCAGGACAAAACCAACCTTGTCAATTATCATTCTAGCAGTCCATTCCCAATCATCAGTAAAGATATTGACAATATTGTCAACGATCTTTTCGAGTGGCAATTACTCAACAATGACCTTCTCACTGATGCTCAGTTTAGATCCCACCGGGCCCACTTAACTCCTGACCTCATTACAGCATTGATCCAAACATGGACAAAAGAACTTAGAGGGGATTTGAGATTAACCGCCCTTGACATCAAACCAGCACTAACTAACTAGTCAGTAATAACTAAGATAACAGAAAATGTCTGTGGTTGTTGGAGGGCATTCATTTCAGTTGTAGAACATCACCACATGAGTTCCTTAGGGTAGGGTTGAAATCCCAACCGTTTTCAGTTGCTTCATCAATGACATTCCCTCCATCATACGGTCAGAAGTACGGATGTTTGCTAATGATTGCACAATGTTCAACACCGTTCATAAATTTTCAGAGACTGAATATCCAAATACAACAAGATCCGGACAACATGCATATTTGAGCTAAAGAATGGTAAATAACATTCATGCCACAGAAGTACCAGGAATGACCTTCTCCAACAAGACAGAATCCACCAATCACCCCTTTGTATTTGGTAGTTATCATCACTGAATCGCCACTATCAACATCCTCAGGGTTAGCATGGATATGGAGCGGGAGAATGGCCTCATTGTATTATGGCTGGATTTTTAATCCAGAGCCTTGGGTAATGTTCTGGGATCCAGGTTCAAAGCCCACCATGGCAGATGGTGGAATTTGATATTTAAAACAAGCTGGAATTAAGAATCTAATGATAACCATCAATCCATTGTTCACTAATGTCCTTTAGGTAGGGAAACTCCAGACCTAAAGCAATGTGATTGAATCTTAAGTGCTCTCTGGGCAATTAGGGATGGGCAATAAATGCTGGCCTAGCTAGTGATGCCCCTATCCAATGAATGAATAAAAAATAGAAACCTTCAAGGAGCAAGAATTCAAAAAATGTTAACTGTGGTTCAGAAAGGAAGTTAAGGATTACACAATGTTAAATGAAAAGACTTATAAAGTGGACAGAAATGCTAATAAACCTGAGGTTTGGGAAGTGTTTTTTTAGAATACAGCAGAGGACCAAGATACTTATAAAGAAAGAAAGAATAAAATATGAATGCAATCTTGCAAAATATGTTGCTTTTCATGATACATAGATGCTAAGGTATTTAGGAAGTTTGCAGATGATGCCTAAATTGGTTACATGTTTGATATTGAAGAAGGAAGCTGTAGATTTCAGGAGGATATCAACGGACTGGTGAAGTGAGCAGAAAATTGGCTAACAGAGTTCGGTATAGAGAAGTATGATGTTATATATTTGGGAAATGAAAATGCAGCAAGGCACTATAGGATAAATGTTATGAGATTGAGAAATGTAGAGGTACAGACAGACATTGAAGTGCATGCCCATAGATTCCTGAATGTGATATCCAGTTGAAAATGTAGATAAGAAGGCACACAAGATACTTCTTTAGTATTAGCCAAGACTTAGAATGTAAGAGCAGGGAGGTTATGGTAGAACTGTATAACTAGGCCACAGCTAGTGTGCGGCATACAGGCCTAACTGCCGTACTACAGAAAGGGTGTGATCACATAGAGGTTACTGGGGAGATTTATGAGAGATTGGCAACTAGAGGCTGGGTAGAGGATGGTGCTGTGATTCTGGAGCACACTGTCCAGGACAGAACAGGCAGAAACTCACATTACACTTAAAAAGCACTTAGATATGCATCTAATACGCCATAACTTTCAACATTACAGACCAAGTGCTAAATAGTGGAACTAAGCTGGATAACTCCAGTCCTGAGGACAGTGCTTGACTTCCTTTATCAGTGGTCAATCTGTAAAGAACCTACACTCTTGGTGTGGTATCAAACCACATGTTAAAAGACCTGACACCTATTATGAATGTTACTTGCCACTTATTGTTCCATGTCTAAATGTTTCTTAGGTCTTGCTGCATGCAGGTACACACTGCTTCATTGTCCAAAATCCCTCATTGTGGGCTAATACAGAAGGTGAACTCATATGGGATTCACAGTGAACTGATAAAGTGCATAGAGTTCTAGCTTGGTCTGTTTAGAAGGATAAACACATTGGCTACAAGATCAGGTCAGAGGTTAGGAATACTGCAGTGAGTAACTCATCTCCTGACTCTCCAAAGCCTGTTCACCAGCTACAAGGCACAAGTCAGGAGTGTGATGGAATACTCCCCACTTGCCTGAATGAATGCAGCCCCAACAACACTCAAGAAGCTTGACACCATCCAGGAAAAAGCAGCCCGCTTGATTGGCACTACATTGGCATTCACTCTCTCCACCACCGACACTCAGTAACAGCAGTGTGTACTATCTACAAGATGCACTGCAGAAGTTCACCAAAGATCCTCAGACAGCACCTTCCAAATCCACAAACACTTCCATCTAGAAGGACAAGGGCAGCAGATATATGGGAACACCACCACCTTCAAGTTTCTCTCCAAGCTACTCACCATCCTGACTTGGAAATATATTGCCGTTCTGTCCCTGTCGCTGGGTCAAAATCCTGGCATTCCCTCCCTAATGGCATTGTGGGTTAATCCATAGCAGGTGAACTCCAGCAGTTCAAGAAGGCAGCTCACCACCACCTTCTTAAGGGCAACTGGAGATGGGCAATAAATGCTGGCCAGTCAGCCATGACTAAACCCACAAATGAATTTAAAAAAGGCTTTAGAGAGGGTACAGAAAAGGTTTAATAGGATGTTACCTGGTTTAGAGGGCATTAGCTATGAAGAGAATTGGAAAAACTTGGTTTGTTTTCATCTGATTTTCGGAGGCTAAGGAGCAACTTGATAGAGGTTATAAAATTATGCGAGGCATGGGTAGAATGGATAGTCAAAGTCTTTTTCACAGGGTAGAAATGTCAATTACTAGGGAGCATAAGTTTAAGATAAAAGAAGGTAATTTTAAAGAAGATGTAAGAGGCAAATTTTTGCACAAAGGGTGATAAGTACCTGGAATGTGCTACCAGAGTAGATGGTAGAAGCCGATACAATAGCAATGTATAAGAAGCATCTTGACAGATACATGAGGGAATGGAGGGATACAGACTGCGTAGAGATGAAAGATTTTAGTTTTAAAAGACATCATGTATTGGTGTAAGCTTGGTGGGCTGAAGGGCCTGTACCCATGTTATGCTGTTCTTTGTTCTAAATTGTGAATGGAACTAACCCTGTAATGGACTAATTGGATAGGCCTACCTGTGTGTTGTTTTATGCTGTATGAGCGTATAATGTAGACCTAGTGCAGTGCTGAGGGATGAATTTATTGTTGGAGATGCCATCTATTTGACATAGCTGCACTGAACTCTTTTAATTTGTCAAAAAAAGTTGAACTGGTGTACCAATATATGAATATGAATGATACGAATTTGAATTCCTGTCAGCCAGATAGAGGTCTTGCAGGTGTTTTCCAGCTGGAGCAAAAATATCATCTATTAGCACTTATTTGATACATGATTAAATCAATAGACAAAAATATGACATCAAAGCAAAACTCTGTATTACCACTTTACAGGAGATGCCCCACAAACTTTACATGTCTCCCTGGCATAGGATTCAATCCAAACAATGGATACACAAATTTTGACAATATTGGTTGGGCATTAATCACAGCCTTTCAACTCATCACACTTGACTACTGGGAAAATACATATAACTTGGTATGTATTCGAATGTGAATCTACTACCATTTATTTAAAGTATATCTGTTCTATGTATTTTTGATTTCAGTTGTGTTTAGTCAGTTGCAATAAGCCCTATATATCTTCTCTTAGTGCCTCTTGCTGTACTGTTATTGTTTGCTTCACAACTCCTGAATAGGAGGGATATATTTAGCAATTGAAATATAAGTAACTAAATTCAATAATAACTGAGTTTGATTTATTGTTTCCTCTTCAAGAAAGTTTAAATATGCAAAACAGGTTTCTTTATAGGACAAAAATTAGTAGAGTGTGTGCTAAGCAGAGTTTGCCCTTTTGCACTTGGCATTTTAGCCAAAGACGACCCTAAAGTTACGTTTTTATTTACTTTTGTGGACCTTATGAATTGTTCACAAATCACCTGGGCCATTGCTGCCCTGAACTTCTCCCTTCTTTTAAACTCCTTTTGCACCAATCTCCAAAGTGTCTTTATCGGGTCCAGGCTAGCTTAAGGCCTCTCAACATTGTGACCACTTGAACAGCTATCCCACAGGCATTTGATAATCCCGTCTAGCTTTTCATATCAACCACGCACCTATTTTACTAGGGATAACAAGGTGTAGAGCTGGATGAACACAGCAGGCCAAG